AAACGTGGAGGCCACACAAGCAAACAGTTGTGCTAATTACAAACTGTTGTGCTAATCACGTCTTCAGAGCTAGCCTGAAGGGCAGTGTGTGCTCCTTGCTGCTCTGGTTTCACCTTTGCTTCATCTTCCCAAAGTCAACAAAAGATCCAACGTGCTCCCAGTGGATAGTCCTACCTTGGCTTTAGGGTTGTCAGTGACAGAGCAAACATGGTTGTGTTTGGTTCCTGTTGGCTTGGAAGCCTGACCCAAAGCAGCTTCGCTTGTGCATCGAGGCTCTTCAGAGCTCCTCGCTGCATCAGGAAGCTCCTGCATTGACTCATTTACAAGCACACGGAAGCAGGGGGCAATCAGGAAGGTTCATATCCAGAAACACAGCGTGCCTTTACTAAAGCCGTTTGCTAAGCTCCCTTCTTGCAGTGAACAAAACAGCAGAGGACAGGATAAAGTTTGGACATGTTGGACAACACAGCGTTAACAGTTGAGGAGAGCTCACCGTGTTCATGGTGAGGCTGGGTTGCCTTGCACTTCATCATCCAGATCAGTGTTGCGTGCCCTTCCAGATGCTCTCATGCATATTTAATGCTCTTTAATTGCTGCAAACTGAAAATTTCATGAATGATATTTGCGCAGTTTACGTGTAGCAGGGAAGATGCCTACTTAGACTACGTGTTGGGTTCTTCGAATCTACCAAACGACTGTATTTTTGGATGTTGAGGTTACCAGGGCTTTAAATTAATGCCCTGAAAATTCTATTGCTCTCACTGTGTTTTTTTCCCATGAGTTTTATTTCTTGGTGTTGTCATTTAGGTGTAAGTTAGTTTCACTTGCTCTCGTACAGTCAGTTTTCTCTTTGTTTGTATTGGCTTCTCTATAGCAAAGGGTAAAGAGAAAAGTCATTTTAAAGCAACAAACATTGGCAGGGAGACCTGAGGACTTGTTTCATTTGAACTTGCTTCTAGCTTTTTTTATTATTATGAAAAAAAAAAAACAAAATAAAAATAAGCCTTTTTTTTTCCTTGGTGTTCCTTTAGTCCACGTGTGATAAATAAGCTCTTAAATATTTCTGAAATAATGTTTAAACATTTCTCAGTGCTAATTGCCTTTTCAAGCTGAGGAAGGCTCAAGAAGCTGAGGGTGCTTTCTTTTTCCATGCAACTTCAAAGCTGCCACGCAGTAGGTAACGCCACACTGTTCTGAAGTGTTAATCTCCTAAAAAATCTATTGGCAATTTAAAATATAACATTTCTGTTCTCTCAGTTGTTGCAGGAGATCACGAGCTTCCGTGTTTGTGGCCAGTTTGACTTGTGGGCTTGATATATCCACTTTAAAATCTCACTTTATATATATTTTGATACACTTCAGTTAGACAGTTTAGACCAGTTTCAAAAAAAGCTAAATTAATATCCTCCTCTCCAAACGTATCTTAGATGTCAGTACAGCTGCCTTAACCTGGTACTGCGAGAAGGAGAAAACCACCACAAATGTTGCTGTAAGATAACACCAGGTTCCCATCTTTGTTTCAGTGGGTTTGTGCTCAAATTGCATTTGAAAGGGCTGAAAAACTGTCAACTGTCAGAAAGAAGAGCTTAAATTGAGAGCTGAGGGGAAAAAACTTATTTGGAAATAAAGGCTCTGGATGAAAAGGGAGATGTTTTCTCTTAATTCAGCATATAAAATGTGAGAGTGTATGAAGAGGAACGTATGGAAGGTTAAGAGCATTGCAACAAATATTTCAGTTACCCTGGTTGTTGGCCTGAGGGCTGATGCCATGGACCTGACTAACAGTTTAATTGTTAGATGAGTTTATCTTTCATTTGAAGATTATTTCAAGCTGCTGTGTAAAGCCTATCAGCTGTGTCATTTTGTTTGGTCCTGAGCTACAGCCGCGTTAAAGGTGTGGTGACTTCTTAGGAGAATGTCTGAAAAACCTGCATTTCCCTGCACAGCCGCTCAGGTATTTTTGTTAAGGCACTGCTGTTCTTGATTGCATGTCCATCCTGGGCACGAATATGGTTTCAGCTAAGACCTTGGCTTCTGATTTTTATCGTTTTAGAAAAATTCCTCTTTGTGGGGTGTTGAGCAATCAAAAGAAATGATCAGCACTGTGGCCTCCCTCATTCCCCAGCTTCCAGTTTGACAAGTTAAATGAAAAGTCAGCCTGGAGATTGCCCGTGAGTAGCCTGCAGATGTGTGACCCAACAGCTTTGCTGGCTTCTACAGCTATGAAATATAGATTTGGAAGAATGACTAAGATATATGCTGCCTTTTTATTATGGACATCCTGGTTCTCTTGCTTTGAAGCTCTGAAAGAGGCTTTCATTTTCTGCAGTAAATGCTTCTTGAGATGATGGCAGTTGGAGTTTTAATTTTTGCAAAAGCAATTAGCTGATTAGTTGCCTGATTTGATGAAGCAAAGGAGTAGTTGATTGTGCTTGCTTCATAATGGCTGAAAGTGGAAGCAGCTTAGCAATAATAATAGGTGTGATTTTAACTCTAGTTGATATAATGAAAAAACAAAGCTACAAGATTTGAGATAAATCCGCATAGTTTGACTGTGCCAGTCACTTCTATCATCTTTTCACTTCTCTTAAATTAGTCTTTACTGCAGGATGCACTAATTGGCATTTTTGGGCTGTGCACGTTTATCCTCTTACCTTGATGCATCACAATTTGGTTTGTCGTCTGCCTACCCAGGAGATGCTGAAACGAGCGAAAGTACAGGCAGAGTGTGACTGTATCCAAAAGAGCAGGAGGATAATTTGTCTGTGAGGCTCACCGGCTTTAAAACCACTAAAAACTTAATGAGGTGGAAATTATGGTGATAGGATTTTCAGTTGTGGGTAATGTACGATTCATCTCTAAACCCTACCTGAAGCATTACAGAAAATAGAAGTCAGCCAGAGAGCATGGTTTGTCACGGGGCCAAAATTTGCTGAAAGCATATGACGTGCTATTAAAACAGAAGTTCAGCTGGTTTTAGGATAAAATGTGAGCTGCCAGGTAAATTTTCTTGCCCAGGAAACTGGACTATGTCGCTTTAATGCCTTCTAGATGGATACCCCAGCTGAGAGATTGAGCGTAACCAGTTCTCATGGCCTCTTTCACGAGATACAGTGAGCTGGGGTAGCAGGTTGCCTTGGCTGGGAGACAGCCTTGCTCTTCCACCTTCCCTCCCCTGTCCTATTCCCTGACATGCAAGGTCTGCTCCCCTTTGCGCTCTTTGCTGCTCTTCAGACCTTTCCTCAGGCCAATTTATCTCATAAAAGTGCCCAAACACATCCATTATTTAATGCTGAGTGGGTCTCTGTCATTGAAGGAGCTTTAAGGGACTTCAGCAGAGCTCGGTGAGCGCAGCAGTAGTGGAAGGTGAGCAACCAACATTCTCAAAAGCTGAAGGTGCAGGATTGACTCAAGGATGTGGCAGAGACTGCTTGTAAACAGGGTGAATGTAGCTCATGCTTTGCATAAGGGAGGTAGAGTATAAAAATCTTCAGTAGTTAAAGAAAAGCAGGTCACTGCAGTGCAGGATGTTAATCACTAACCAGCCAGGCCAAGATAAAGTGGCTTGTCAGATCTGGGAAGTACAAAGAATATAATTTCATCTAAGCAAGCATGCATTGCATATTAATGATAGGTAAATTGGTTTTCGGGGTGTGGAGAGGAATTAAAATAAACACCAGCCTCTGAAACTTGTCTGTCTGTTCCTTCTGCAAAAGCACACTTTAATAACAGAGCAGTAGTTTTGTTCAGAAGGATTTCAGCTTCATGTGACTGCTTGCTGTGGGCAGTAATCTTGAGCTTTGGCTTGCTTTGTTATGTTTAAAACAGTGAATGACCTACAATTTTTTTTTTCCAAAAAAAAGGCCAGAGAGAGAAACTTCCTCTTACTATTTATTTATATATACATTTTTTTAAGCCTGTAGGGTGCCATGCAGTAAATTAAGCCCTGCGGTTGTGCCAGGAAGAGCAGCAGCCGGAGTTGGTCCAGGTGCTGCGAGGTGAAGGAGCAGGCAGAGGTGACGGAGACGGGAAGATCAGAGATGAAGGAGGACAAGGATTACAATTAATATGATTAGGCACGGGCATGTTTTGGTGATTCAGCTGTGGTGTCGGACACCGTGGGGAGGTTATTCTGAGGAGCTCCTCATCATCACAGCGTGCGGGAGCTTTGCACGGGTGTGATTAGTGTCTCATGTACGTAGGCATCGGCCTTCACGTGCGCTTTCCAGGCCGTAAGAGCACGGGACTGGAAAGGGCTGCTTGTGTCTAGACCCCTACGTGTGCAGGCAGTATTTTAATTGGGGATGGTTGTTTGCTTTTTCCCATTTTTTCTAATATCTGACTCACTTTGTCACTGGGTGTCGACTTGGATGGTTGTCAGCATTAGCCAGAGCGTCTGTTTTCTTTGCCCCACCTCTGCTGTTGAGAATTCTCATATATTCCAAGTGTTCCTATTGCTCATGCAGTGCATCACACTCCTTAGTGTGAAGTTGGAAGAGTTTCCCAGGAAACTGTGGGAAAGAATAAGCCCCTTCCTATGTGCTCACACCTAAATTGGTTTTGATGGGACTTGCATTTCACTGAGCAGGTGCTTTGGGACTGGCAGCTGCCCTGGCAAGTTGCAGCATCACTGCAGTGGCCACAAAAATGTGCTGCACATGGTAGGGGCAGCATTCCTTGTGAGCAGCCAGGGCATTGAGACAGCAATAAGAGCTGTCAAAGTAGCACTGTGCCTAATGGTTCCTTCCCCAGAAGAAATTTCATACTGTTGGTAAGGCCTAAGTGCTCTTTCTTGTTCTGAAAAGAACTCCTGCCTTAAAGCTGGACCAAATCCATGCCAGCAAAGTGCCTCTGGAAGTGGAGTTTGGCAACAGTCCTGTTCCTATTCTGTGGCTGATGGGTGGCTGTCGGGCTGCATGAATAAATTTGGTGTCTGGAGGAAGCAATGGGGTCCTCGTGCTTTCGGGAGCAGCGTTTGACACTTTGTCATTTCTTTACAGAGCTCGATCTGCATACAAAATGCGTGGTGGATGTGGATGCAAACAAGGTTATTCTCCATCCTGTAAACACCAACCTTTCAAAAGGAGATGCCAGGTAAGATCCTTGGATTAGGGAGGTCAGGCTTCATAAATTATATATGAGGCTAGCTGCAGAGAAATGCAAGCTTTGCCAGAGGGCTTTCATTTGAAAGCAAAACAAAAAAGAAAACGTACTCCTCCTGCAATTTGGTTACCATCAGCTAGAAAACAAGGCTGAGCTTTACCATACTGGGAAGATGCTTTGAAAACCTCGTGCTTACTGCATTTTAAAGTGAGCATTTGCCTCCCACCCTTAAAAAAAATGTTAGCAATTAATGTGTCAACACTTCAATTTCTTCTCATGTAGTATTATGGGTCAGAAAAGATTAAATCTGCAAAATCATTTGAGTAGGGCATTGTGAAGATTGATTTCATTGCAAAGCTATTTTCTTGCAACGGTCATGGATTTGGTGTGTAAGAAGGAAAAGAAAAACCTGAAGAGCTGTAGCTGTAGGAGTAGCTTGCTAGTGGGATGTAACATGCATTAAAGATCCCTAGAAGGGCAGGCAGTTTATGTAGGAGCTGGCTTAGATCTGTTTAACTTCCTAGAGTGGGATGTGGAAAGACCTGTAATGATTAATACAGTTAGAGTTGTGACTCATTATTTTTTTCCCTCGTTTGCAAGGGGAGGAAATGGAAAAATATATGCATTTAAAAAAACACAGGGCAGCAAGAAAAGGCAAAAAGCAATACTGGGCAATTACATTTACCTATTTTTTGGAAAAAAAGACAGGCAAGTAATCTTGCAGAATGATGGAAAATTAGTTAAATACACTGAGAGCTTCGTTTAAATGCAACATATGATAGTCTTGTCATGCAGAACTGCACTGTACATTACTGGTAAGTAAAAGTATTCTTTATCTGATCTCTTGAACAACTGAACCTCCCAGCAGCATTAAATGGACAAGCAAAGAGATGATGAACTGCAGTGTGTGGTTTCTGTTTAGCTCCTGGGTACCTGTGCTAACTCGAGCCTGTCTCTGCTGGCAGGGCCATTGAAAAACTCAAGGACTCAAAAAACTCAAAGGACACGTTAGCCACCTGTAGTAAGAATATGCCATTCATAGTTTCTCTAGAGCCTGCTAACTAATGAAATGCTGCATAGTTCGTACTCGCTAACATATGTTTAAGAAATGTTCATACATCAGCCACGAGAGAATTTGTAATGCAAATTGCACCCCCTGGCAAGGGAGGAATTGGGTGGCAATTGAGCTGGCTTCCCAGACCAGACAGTGAGCCTGGTGTGAGAAAACAGCGTCCCAGACTGAAGAAGACTTCATTTCCTGCTGTTGCTAACCTTAGGAGCCATAAACTGAAAATAAACCGATATCATAGAATGCTTAAGGTTGGAAGGGACCTCTAGAGATCATCTAGTCCAACCCCCTGCACACGCAGGGTCACCTAGAGCATGTGGCACAGGACTGCGTCCAAGCGGGTTTGAAGATCTCCAGAGAAGGAGACTCCACAACCTCTCTGGGCAGCCTGTTCCAGGGCTCTGGCACCCTCACTGGTAAGAAATTTTTCCTTAAGTTCCTGTGGAACTTTTGGTGTTTCAGTTTCTGGCCATTTCCTGTAGTCCTATCAGTAACCACCACTGAAAAGAGGCCAGCACCATCCTCATCACTGCCTCCCTTGAGCTACTTCTAGACACTGCTCAGGTCCCTCTCAGCCTTCTCCTCTCCAGCTGAACAGGCCCAGCTCTCTCAGCGCTCTTCTTAATGCACCCCAGGATCCCATTGGCCTTCTTGGCCACGAGGACACACTGCTGCCTCATGGGCAACTTGTCATCCAATGGCCTGACTAAGCAAAGAAAGAAATGTGGAAGCCCTCCTAAAAATTCACTGATCTGCAATGTAGCAGCCTTGAGATAGGAGGACATTGAATTCACTTTGCAACTAAGTCACAGGAATCTTAAATATTCCTGTTCAAGGAAAATATTAGTTTTACTTTTTTTTTTTGGTCTTTTTTTTACTTTATGCTTTTGTTTACGTGTTTCTAAGTCTGTGGTCAGTAACTTTGCCTTGTGCTGTGAAATCATTCATTTTGATTCTTAGATTTGTTCAGAATGAGCGGAAAGAATTCTAACAAACCTGGAGTGCTTTTATTTCCATAGAGAAAGGGAAAATAAAATACTGTATTGCGAATCAACTCTTTAAATGCTTGCAAAGCAGGATGAGTTTGGACATCCTAAGGACTTGCCTACCTTTCTGACTGATGTGCCAGGATCAGTTTGGGAACTGGGGAGGGAATTTTAAAATGAGAGATCTGATCAGCCCCATCTCCTCTTGATGTGATGCAGCCCCTTTCCAGCAGGCAGTGACATTTGGAAAAACACCTATGAGTTTTGGAAAAATACATGTTTCCCCTCTTGCATCCTGTGTGGTGGAAATGAAGCTTGGGAGATGGGTAGGTTTATATTAATTGTTTATTGTGCCAATTAGCCTGCATCGCAGAGTGGCCATTTATTTGTCCTGTCTCTGCAAGGTGGGCCTTGAAGGCCAAAGAGTTCTACATTATTTGCAAAAACTCCTTCCATTCAGCTCAGTGAAAATTGCAGATATCTGAGCTACTCTTCTCATTTGTGTTTCAGTTAAAGAAGTGGGTTTTGGGGTTTCTTACCAATCTACCCACCTCTGCCTCTGATTTCCCATGGGACCTTGGGGAATGAATGCATGTAAAACCAGCACTTTTCCATCATCTCGATGTATTTCATACTTCTACACATACCTGGCTTGAAATTTTGGGGACCTGACTTTTGGAGACAGAGGAATTCAGCTGGCCTAACTGCCACTGAAACTGACTGTGTCCAATTCTGCATTCAAAATGTTAAAACCCCTTGAAAGTCAAGGCGACACCTGCTCAGCCTCTTTCTCCTACACCTACAACCTGAATATAATATTTGCTCATTTCTCCAGCAGCCTGATGCCTAATAAATGCATGTAAAAGACTTAAGAAAATCTGTTTTTATACAACTTCAAAAATATTGCATCCTCCTGTTAGTATTTCTTAACCAAGGAATGACCTTTCCCAAGAGACAGATATGCAGCCAGTTGTTTTATTGAGCAGTCCTCCCTAGTGCTGTGCAGGTTCCTGCAATCCAATCGTGTACAGTAGATCAATGGAGTTTTCTTTATCTCAGGCTTCCCCTTACGATCTTTTTAGGTCAAAATCTCCCCTTTTCCCTTTTCAAGGGCATGTCAGCTTTAAGGGATTTGGTGTAAATGAGGGATACTATTAGTCTGGCTTGTCTGCTTCCTTTTTCTTTCTGTAGTCATCCGTCTTCTCTGTTGCAAAGGTCAGGGTTAAAGTTTCTTTATCAACCAGGATTAACTGTGTGCTGCAGCTTACTCACAACCTTAGTACTTGGTGGTTAGGGCTTGGAAGAGGGTGTGAACTCACCTTGATTGAAAAGAATAGGTGAGTCCTACGTAATAATCAAAATGCATGTAAGGAGTTTTGAAAAATCCCTGAAAATACAGGACTTACTGTAGACTATTAAGTTTGTCCCAATATTTTTATTGGCAATTTATTTGTGCTGTCATTTTACACCTCCCAGAGAACACCCATGAAAAATACTGTTTGTTTTTGACTTCAGAAAAGGGAGTTTTCTTCCAGGGATGTTATTTCATACTGTAGGCATGACTCTAATTGGTGTGTAACTGATAACACTGGCAGAAATCAGTTAGATTTTAGTCTAGCACAGGCCTGTGAATAGGCAGTGATACCTGTAAAGTAAAGCAGGTAATAAAGCTGCCCAGTAAACTACCTTTGAACTTTTTTATCAAGAGGATATGCTTAAAAATGAAAGAAGCTCCCAATTCTGTGTACTTTTGTCAAAATTTGGGGTTTGTAAGTGCTACAGAATAGAGATTGCCAAGCCTGACACATGGTAAAAACTGTTTGAGTGAACAAATGTGGCTAATTGAGGTTAGCAAGTGTGTTAAACCAGGCTATGTTTCTTTCTCAGCTATTGCAATGTCTGCATAATTAGTGCTTAGTAGTAGTTATTTCCATAATTGAGTATCTTTATTAACATAAAAATACATGATTTACTCTCAAGGTATTTAGTGGTTATTATTTATCAGCAATACTCTCAAAGAGAAAGATTTAAGTGAAGTTAAAAGTTGTTGAAGGATGAAACCATTGCTCACAATTTAGTAGGACACAACAGAAAAAAAAATCTTATTTATGCAATAAGTAGGGGAAAAATGCAGGAATTACAGGCTTTAAGCAGTGTTTGGGTTGATATAGGGAAATGTTTCCATAGTTTGTCTTTGGATTAACGATTTCTTATCTTGGAAAGATGAAGAATCCTTTTGAAGAAGAAATGCAGACTAAGAGCAAGACAGAATGTTGTTAAAGATGCAGTATCGAGGGGACAAAAGTAGTACTGGAAAATAATTATAAAGGAGTCTCGAAGACCAAGTGATATTGCAAAAAGTTTTAAAGGGTCGAGAGGGGAGAGGGTGAATGATAACAGAAAGGTACAGCTTCTAATTAAAATAAACTAGCTTCATTCCAAAAAATCAGGATGTGGAGTTATAAAAAGAATTATTAAAGCTATAAATACAGGTAGTGTGGTGGCTGGTGGAATTGCACATTAAACAGTGAGAATCATGCTTTGATACATTGCAAGTAAGTAATCCTCTTGTGAGGGGAAGCAGCACCTTTCTTGTGCAGTTTAGTAAAATATTTTTATATGTTATATATATGGAATGGTAAGCCAAAACTGCAATTAAAGGAAGTATTAGCTGAAGTTGAAAATATCATGATGCTATTTGTCCATTTTATAATACATGACTGTTTTTGTACAATTAATCGGCTCTCATATCTCCTAGAGCAGCAGGCAGAAATTGCAGGTGCCTGGAGAGGAAATGCTAACATTATATGTGTATTCTTGTGTGTATATAAATATGGGCTGGAAAAAAATGATCATTAGGAGTAAGGGGGAATGCTACTGCTTTTAAAAATAGTAAATGATGAGAGGAATACATAGAGGGACACACTTCACTGATT